CTACTATGTGACCCAGCAATCCCACTTCTGGGTAAACATCTGAAGGAAACAAAATCAGTAAACAAAAGCACCCCCTTGTTCATTGTAATATTGTTGGAGGTGACCACATGGCATGGCAGACCTCTCCTGACCTGCCCGCTGCTCCCCTCAGCAGTGTACTTCGTGGATCTGCCTGTTCTGCTCCCCACTGTCTCTGGTGAATCCTCTCACCGCCCCTTGCACCTCCAGCCTGTCCCAGTTCTGTATGCACAAATAAATAAATCTTTAAAAAAAATACTTAAGTGTTCCATAATTAAATCTAATACTAATTTTCCATTACAATTCCTTCTAATTGTTACTATCTCAGAAAGTCTGACTTAATGTAAGATATATGCACTATAATCTCTCCTGTCTTTGTTATGTATTCAGTACTTAATTCTTCAATAAATATGAAATTTATTGTAGTATGACATGAGGAATCTAAATTATTGCAAGTTATTTCAATTGTTAGCACAAATTATCTCTTCCTTTCTCTACTGAGTTGTCATACCATCTTTATCAAATGTAAAAATCCTAGATGGTAAGTCATTACATAATGCTGTTGATAGTTTCTTGGAAACTGTGACTTTAAGGAAATGATCTATAATGAAACCAATTTCATCATAGGCTAATTGATGTAAAGAAGCATTGTATCATGCTATTGGCATCACTGATTAGTTATCTCAAAGAGCTTACTGTTATCACAACTCAGGTATATGTACTTAAAAAATTTTAGAAACAGGAAAGCATTTTCACAATTTTGAAAAGAATGAAATTAGGCATCTTCCTTTATGTTTGTTAATACAATGATCTATTGAATATCTCAGATGAATTAAGTCATTATAAACTACATGCCAGTCATTTTCCTAAATGATATATAACTAGTTAGGACAAAAACAGACAAAAATCCTGGCCTTCATGGAGCTTATATTCTATTGGTTGAGAAATAAAAGTAGGATAGGTGAGATTTGAGGTATAGGATAATAGGTAGAAATATAAACACTATGGAGACAAAATAAAGCAAGAGGGAATGGGAAATTCTGAACAGGTGACTAAGAATGACCTCACTGGGAAGGTGATATGAGTCAAGACCTGAAGTAACCTTTAATTTTCTTTTATAAATACCACAAATAGACTATTTACATTGAAATCTTTAGTATATATTCAGACCTCCTTTCGGTATATCTTAAATCAATTACAATAGTCATTATATTAATTATTCATTAATTATAGTAGTGTACCAAAATGAATTGCTGCATATATTAATCAAATTCCTCATGAGTTAATGGTCTACAATCTACTTACAGGAATAAAGCAGCCTGTTGGGAATCTTTGGACAGTAGAACGAAACACAAAACTCCTGTATTACAAAGACAAAAAGATAAACGATTTTCTAAATTTGTTTTTATAATGTGAGGATCTAGTTTTTCGATGTGAGGACTTTTGGTAACTTATTGTCTGTCTCACTAAATATTTTATAGTGTTAATCTGGGTATTAACGGGCATAAGTGAGTTTTTAAAATCATTAGTAAAGTGAATTATGAAAAGCAACTTAATAAACACATACTTACCTGGAAGCATACTTGGGAACAGGAGCAGGAAGTATATTGTATTGTCCTGGTGAAAGCTTAATTGACTATACAGACGGACAAAGACAACAATAAAGATTAATTCAGGCGTTAGACTTGCTTGAGTTCTTTTATCTATCACTCATAATCTTTTCAAATGAACTTACCTACAACGATTATTTAACATATTCTCTATTTCGATAGTGAAAAAGGTAATTTTCAAAACATTCACTGTATTCATATACTATGTGAATTTCATGATGCTATCTCTGAAGTGACTAGTAAAATGCTTTCTAATTGATCATATTTTAAACAATTTAGATTCAACAAATAAACACAATGTGGTGAGACTGCTCTGTGAGTAAAGAATTCTGTTAGGTAGGTATGATGGGGCATACAGTAATTAAAAGAGGTAAAGGCCCCTGCCCAGCAAGAGTGATAAGGAACATACATAAAATGTTCTTACAGGGCCCTCCCTGGTGGCGCAGCGGGTTAAAGCACTGCACTGAGAGGCTAAAGCCACTTCCGCATGAGTTCGATTCCCGCCTGCCCCGGAGGTGATGTGGCAGACCTCTCCTGACCCACCCGCTGCTCCCCTCAGCAGTGTACTTCGTCGATCTGCCTGTTCTGCTCCCCACTCTGTCTCTGGTGAAGCCTCTCACCGCCCCTGAGCCTCTGGCCTGTACCCCAGTTCTGTATGCGTAAATAAATAAATCTTTAAAAAAAAATGTTCTTACAGAAAGCACAAATATGCAGAGCTAAAAGACAGACTGGAGATTTGGAGGGTGAGGAGAGATTACAATCTCTCCAATGGGATCCATGCACAGCTAATAACACACTCTATTGTGAGAAGCTGAAAGCTTTTCTCTAAGATTAGGGACAGGACAACCCAGTCAAGTCAGCAGTAGGTGCAGGGAAAGGAGGCAGTGACAGGAGAAAAGTGGGGGGAAGAAGAGGGAGGAAGGAAGGAAGGCAGCCAAAGAGGAAAGGAATAAATAAAGTTGTTCTTGATTGCAGATGATATGATCTCACGGTCTTGATAATGATTTTTTTGGACATGACCCCAAAAGTAAAAACAGCAAAATAAGTGGGACTATAGACTATATCAAACTAAAAAACTTCTGCACAGCAAAGGAATTAGCAAATGACAAGGCAAATATGAAAAGGAAGAAAATATTTGTAAAATTTATCTGATAGGGGATTAATATATAGGAAGCTTACACAGCTCAACAGCAAAAGAAATAAACAATATGGTCTTTTAAACGGGCAACAGATCCGAAAAGACATTTTTCAAAGAAGACATACAAATGGCCGACAGGTACACATGTAAAGGTGGTCAACCGTACTAGGCATCAGAGAAATGCAAACCAAAAGCACAAAAAAATTATAAACTCACACCTATACGGATAGTTGTTATAAAAAGGGCAAATAACAGGCAAGAATGTAGACAAAAGGAAACTTGTACATTGTGGTTGGAAATATAAAATGGCACCACCTTGGTGGAAAACAACAGAGGTTCTAACGAATTAAAGACAGAACTACTATGTGACCCAGCAATCCCACTTCTGGGTAAACATCTGAAGGAAACAAAATCAGTAAACAAAAGCACCCCCTTGTTCATTGTAATATTGTTCACAATAGCCAAGATATGAATACAACCTAATGCTTCAATAGATTCATGGATAAAGAACATGTGGTATATATAGTAATGCATCAGTAATGACAGGATTTTGAGAAAAATGCCTCTTTAGGTGATTTGATTATCGTGAAAATGTCATGGAGTGGAAATATAAAATCCAGGTGGTATGACCTCTTACACACCTGGGCTATATGGTGTAGCCTATTTACAGCCACATTATCAATGTTAAATGACAGGCCATTGTTAAATAACACATACAGTGGAATATTATTTGGTCATAAAAAGGGAATCCTGCCATTTTTAGTCACTTGAATGAACCTGAGAGCATTGTGCTAGAGTGAGCCATACAGTAAAAGACAAATTTGGTATTGTATCATTCACATGTAATCTAAAAAAGTTATCTTCAAAGAAATGAGAATAGAATAGTGTCTACCAGGAAGATGTTGATCAAAGAGTAAAAATTTTCAGTTATAAAATGTGTAAGTTTGGGGGATCTAAAGTACAGCAGTCATTATAATTAATAACAATATTACATACTTGAAAATTGCTGAGAATAAGTCTTACATGTTCTGATCACATACATATGTTAATTAACTTGATTGTGCTGATCATTTCACACTGAATTTATGAAGTCATCATGTTGTATATGTTAAGTATATACAATTTTGTCAGTTATACCTCATTAAAACTGGGAGGGATAAATAAATAAATGCAAAAACTATGAACTTAAAGACAGTGAGATTTTAGTGGGGTTTTACAGGAGGCAGCACTTTCCTCCAGGAGAGCAGGGGGGCTATTCTGAGAAGAAGCTTTGCTACGAGATGTGTCTCTGCCCATCATTGAGCTTTTTTGCAGATGACTTGGAAGGCTCCTTTGTCGCTGGGTCTCTGGACGTTAGCCCAGAGGTATGGAAAGGAGGGAATGTCTAGAACTAGTAAGCACAGCCAGTGGGGTATGCAAAGGAAAGCAATGAAAGGAAGGAGAATGAGGAGGCAAGAGGAGATTGGTGGGAGATTGGTGCATAATCCTGGGAAGAATTCTTCCAAAATTAACACTTTTGTCCCAACCCCTATTATTTTAAAATTACATTTAAAAATGCCACACTGCCTTTGTTAAAAATGAAGCATCCATATCTTTTGCATTATTTGCCTCATGAAAGTTAAGGTATTAAATTTTACCCTGCAACTGTCTTTCACATATTAATACATAATTTTGATTCCAGAGGGAGTTTTCTGTGGATATAGTGACAGTAACATTAAATACAAATTTTATGAATTATACACATTGTTCGATACACCTGTGCATTGTTAGTTGCTCACTTGGCATAATAAATCCCAAGGAAACATGGGTAGCTTCTTGTTCATACCAAGAACAGCAACATCTTTTAAGCAGGGTTTGCTTTTGCTGGGGAGAGCAGCAACATTCTATTTCTTGATTTTGATAATGGACACATGGATTTCTGTTTTCTATTTACTTTATATTGTGTGTCGAGATGCTTTGTGCTCCTCTGGTTTATTCTCACTCTCTCATATACACATACACATTACACGGAGGAGAAAGAAACGAACTGAAAAGTAAAAATAAAAATACTGCCAAAGTCAGCTACCTATTCATCTATGCTCAGAAATCACCTAAGACTTTGTAATGAAGGACTCATGGGAAAACTCTGAGCACCAGTCTAGCGACTTCTCTATTTGTCCTTCTCTACTTATCATTCCTTATTATTTCATAAGTTAAGGGAGGGCTCATTTTCTTACATAAAGTATAGTCACAGAAATGTCTCTCTCTGTATTCTAAATTTGTGGCCGCCTCTGTTGTCCTTAATTGTAGTGGAAACCTATGTATTTCCAAAAGAATAAATGTTTGTGTGTGCATGGACATGGTATTTGGAAAGCAGCATGCCTTCTGGTTCCTGTATGTGTCTTTCAAGTCTTCATTTATAATCTAAGACTTGGAGGACCTAGCCAAAGTGCCCGTGAAGATATTCTCGTCAATTAATGCTTCAATACACATTGAGTAGACCTCAGAAATCTCACAATTACTTGAAGTCATAAAAATGGCAGAATCACATTAGTGTGCATTCTTAATGTAGGTGTGTGGAGCCAATGCCATCAGTGTCAGAAAATGGGAATAAGTGAAAAAATCCACTCCTGCTTATGAGGCTCTTGGCATAGCAATCTTCTGAGTTCTCAGAACCAAATATTGGGACCCAAGGAAACAGATGTTTCACTCCTTCAGTAGCCCTACCAAAATATCATAAGAAGAATGCAGCCAAAAGGCCATCGAGTGCACTATTTTTAGACATACTGGTATTTTTTTTTTTTTTTACCAAGTGTATTTCTCCTACACATATGCGTAAGTCCCCTGTGTCATATGGAAGTTTCACTGACTCACTGCTCAGGCTTCGTTACGGTCTGAGAAAGAGACAATATAGAACTTTCTCAAAAAGAAACCTCTGATACCAATCATATTATTCCCAAACTGACCAGTTCCCTGTCGTTTACATGAGTTCCAAGTGAACTAAGGACTGAAAGCGGCTCCAGGTCCTTGAGGCATCTTTCAAAATTCATTTGCCAGTCTGACATATTTGCCTGCTGAAAATCAAATTCCTCTGCCTTACAGTTGCTCTCTGGGACTTCAGCCCCAACATATATCTGCAATGAACCAACTTTGAGGGCCATTCTTGTTTGTGATTTCTATTGAAATGTCCCCAAGCTGGGACGTGAATGAGAAAAAAAAGAAGAAATAAAAGGGAAAAAAAAGTTGGAAATTATTTTTATTTCTTTACAAATAAGTGTCACTTGTACACTAAAGTAATTAAAAATCTATAGAAAGAAAAAGTCTCTCTGCCCCCATCACCTCTTCCCAGAAAGTAGAAACCATTGCTAATGATTGCCTGAGTATCTCTCAAGTATAAGAGTATACATGTAATATCATATATGTGTATATCTGTTTTCATTTACATACATGGAATTGTGCTATAAATATTGTCCTTCTCCTTGAGCTTTTTCATTTAGTAATATAAATTGGGGATACTCATTGTTTTTAATGGCTGTCAGTATGCCATTGTATGGATGCACCATTATGTAAACTGGTCCTCTAGTTAAATGTGGTTATTAACAATGTTGCAGTATTCTATATGAATACTTCATTACATTTTGTAAGACCATTTTATAAAGTAAATTCTAGACAGAGAAGTGCTAAGAACTGCCACATTACCCCCCAAATTACTTGTAATGATTTGTATTCATACAGTGTCTGAGGACATCTGTTTCTGTACCCCCTTTGCCAGTGGGTCTCATTAAACTTAAACTGTTTTCAGTGTTTTCTTGAAACTTCCTCCCATATTCACAATGAACTGACTGATCTTGGTCCCTACTGGTTATAGGCTGGGGCACGGTCCCCCTCTTCTCCCTGTGCTGATCATTGCAGGAAGACCTGGCTGACTCCAGGTTGTTCTGAAGTTCCCCTAACATTCTGATTTCAAGCTCATGCTTTAAAATTTCCCTCTTTAAGGCATTTGATCCATGTTTGCAGTTGAAACTATGAACAATGCATTAAATGGTACTGAAAATAAACTCTGGAGGAAGTTGCATTATAACTATTTTTTTTTCTGTAGGACATTTTGGCAATGTATCTCAAAAGACTTAGATATATACATATTATCCTTTCCCTCAACAATTCTACTCTGACTAACAGCAGGGTATGATGGACTGTATTAGTATATGTCCATATATTGGACTTCTAATACATACAATATATTTTTTAAGTTTTTAAAATGATGACATTGCTAATAGGATAACAAGAAATCTAAGGCCCTTAAAGCAAAGATAGCAAGAAGTCAGAAGGAGATGTCAGAGGAAGTTTGCTGGCCCAGACTACATTCAGCTGGGTTTGAGGAAATTTCAGAGCCATAGTAGGATCTAAAGGTCAAAGTCTAGACCCATCAGTGATGATGGGGTGTGATGGGATCCTGCTTACAGGATCAAGACTCTAAAAAGGTACTTCTAGAAAGTAAACATCCCACCTCATCCCACTGCTGAGTACAGAAAGACCTGTCTTGACACTAAACTGAACTGGGAGACAGAGAAGAAACCTCCCCTTAGAGACTGTACCTTTGGGGTGGTCCCTTTCATAAATTCCAGTCCCAATCCCTATCACTGGGATGATCCAAGAATATATAAGTAGTGCCTATCAAGTGGCATCCTACTGGTAACTCCCTTAGGTCTTAGCAGAACCAGAAGCAAAACTTTCCTGAAAGAAAATGTCTTCATCTTGGGACTTAGAGAATTCACAAAATTCAATTTTCAGGTGCATCGAACGACAGAGTCAAAGATAATTACACATACAAGGAAACAAGTAAGGTCCAGTCAGATTTCAGATTTCTGAGTCATAATTAGTTCATTTACACATTCAATAAATATTAACCATCAACTTTAGACTCAAAGACAACAGTGAAAAACGTGTCTGTAGAAGCTTCGCTCTCATGGGGGAAGCAGATAACAAATAATAAATGCCACCTGCAAGTAAATGATGTAGTATATTTGATGGCTAGAGGTGCTAAAGAGAAAAAATAAGAGCAGGGAGCATGTTGAGGTGGCCAGTTTAAATAGCTCATGGAGAGGCTGACACTTGGACAAAGCCTTGCAGAAAGAGGAGGTTCCAGGGGAGCCATTTCACAACAGATCTTTTGACCCTGAGAACAATCATTCAGAGTTCACATGGGTGATAGTTGAAAGCCTGGTGAACCCACAAGTTCACAATGTGGGGGGGAGGGTAGGAGGGGACTGCTAAGGGTATCTAATTAGCTAATGGCATCTAATTATCTTGGAATGCAGCTAGACAGCCTGCAAAGCACAGAACAAACCTCCACGACAAAAAAAAAAAAAAATGACCCTGTCAAAATGTCAACAGTGTCCATGCTGAGAAACCACAAATTAGACATATAAGTGGAAAAGTCAAAAAGACAGTTGGACAGGTCCTCCCTAGTGGTGCAGCGGGTTAAAGTGCAGCATTGAGAAACTAAAACCACTTACACATGAGTTCGATTCCCGCCTGCCCCGGAGGTGACCACATGGCATGGCAGACCTCTCCTGGCCCGCCCGCTGCTCCCATCAGCAGTGTACTTCATCAATCTGCCTGATCTGCTCCCCACTCTGTCTATGGTGGAACCTCTCGCCGCCCCTGAGCCTCTGGACTATACACCAGTTCTGTATGCACAAAAGAAAAAAAGACAGCTGGACAAACACTTCTAAAGTCAAGAAAGAAGTCTAGGCAGGAGATGTAAACTTGGTAATCACAAACAAATGATGGCTTTCAGAGCCTAGAGAATGAATGAGCTCACCAAGGGAGTGTGCTGGGACAACAGCTGAATGCCTGGGACACTCCAATCTGAAGGGGCCAGGGAGAAGGATCTGCAAACCAGGCTAACAGAAAACAAGAATGGGCGGTGGAGGTGGTGGTGTCAGGGGTTTTGAAAGAAGGGAGATTTGCGACAAAGCTTCCCAAGAGTAGGGGAGTAAACAAGACTAAGGAGTCTATTTAGTGTCCATGTGAGGTGTGGACTTTAAAATGAGACCAATCCTTCGGTTCCATGCAGGAAGGTACAAAGTTCACAATTAGATGTAACCAAGGTGGTGGCTTTGCCAAACAAGTTAGATGAGCCTTAGGGGAGCGAGACGTTTGGGTGTGTATGCACAGAGTATCTCTAATCATTCAGACAGTATCTCTAATCATTAGCCATGGAATTTAAGCGTTGTGAGAAAGGAAAGAGCAAAAAATGGAAAGGTGAAAAAGTAGTAAGATCAATGGATTACAGACTTGGGGAATGGAAAAATTGGGGGAGGGTATGGCTTCTCAAATGAGTGAGGCAAAAAATGAGCAGAGAAAGGTCAGAATGGGATGCTTGCAACAGATTATGGAGGGCTGAAACAACTGGCTTTGAAAAAAATCTAGGGAGTAATAAAAGCAGAGGGGAGCTCAAGAAAGCGAGAAGCCAGCTGGGAGAGAGCCAGCATTATCCAGAGATAAGTGAATGTGTGTAACACTGGGAAACACGTATATGGAGAGAGATGGCCCATGTTTGACCACACACTCTACAATACAGGCAGTTATTTTCAAGTGTTATCTATTCCTCTGGGGAAGCCAGATACTTCTGGTCTTTTAAAAACTTTAAATTATGCCTAGTATCAACCTTATAAGATAGGAAGAGACCAAGAAGAGGGGAAGTGGAAAGGACAATGATGGTGGAGAATGAGGAAGGATGATTTTGCATTATATGACACAGCTATATGACTTCACATGCAGCCTGGTTACCTGGGATCAAACCATGGAGCCTAAGTTTGATTTAGTGTTTACATTCATCTGCTTAAGCAAAAAGAGTAAGATTCACCCAATGAACATTTATCACTCTGTCCTGTTTCAAAGCTATCATTTGCAAAGCAGTAAGAAAGGTTTCAAGACTGCATATGTGTGCTCATCCTACTGAAAATTTCAGCATCCTAATAACAACCCCTTACAGTTAACTCAACCTCCATTTGCAATACATCTTTTTTTCAGGTTATGACAATATCCTGATGAGGTTGTGAAGGTGAATATCACTTGCTTCTTTATAATGAGAGTTAAGACTCAAAGTTCCAAGTTAACAAAGTTGAAGTCACAACTCTGTTCCTGAAACCAGCCTTTGACAATGCTACTGTTCTTTTGGGTTCCATCTACCAAAGCCCCTCGCCCAAGACCAAAGGCATGATAGACAGGAAAGAGTGCTGGATTTGGGATCAGAAGCCCTTGGTTAAAATTATTGCTTTGCCAACTTATTATCTATGTACCTCTGAACAAGTTACTCAGTCTCTGTTTACCTCAGTTTTCTCAAATAGGGATAACATCTGTTCTGCCTACTTCAGAATGCTTGGGAAGAACAGCTTAAGAGAACATATGTGCCACATAAATGTCATGTATTATTCAAGGTTCAGCCAGAGTTCTGCCGAATTCCTTCCAGACTTTCTATCCAGCCTACACTGAACTCTCCTGGGCATTTCCTCTGTACTATTTACCTCAGCATTTACATTCTTAAATATTTCCTCATCAGGAATATCTTCTCTTCACACAGAGCCCAGCACAGACATGATAATATTATCAATCTTACCAATGAGCTGGAGGAGCTGAGCACAATCTGATCCTCCTGGTACGATAGGGCCCATTTCTTATGGAAATGTTTTCAAAACATTACCTACGGTATATCATTCAGTTCTAATAAGAATACTCAATGAAAGGCTACTTTTTTTTTTTTAAAGAAAAGTATACATGGTTTTAACCTCTAGAAGAGACCAGAAGGATGGCCCAATCACTGAGAAGATCCCAGAGACTCCCCAAGTCAGAAGAATCCTGCCAATGGTCCCCAGGGTAGGAAAATATATTCCTCATGTATTCTCCTTAGATGAAGGAGCACTCATAGGGAAAAATCTTCCTGGGCATATTTGCAAACTCAGAAGTCCACGTTTGATGGTTGTAGAAACAGCATCCTAAAGGCTTTCAACCTCTTCTAGGGAAGATGCATTCTATGCATTCAGAGTATTTTCCTGGGGGGGGGGGGCAGCTCTTGGCAGCTTTCCCACAAAAGCCCATTGGTAGCACTGTACCTGGTCTTTGTAAACCAGCCCGCTGGGGCATGGCCGTGGTTTGTCTTTAAACGAGTAAGTGGCCACTTGCTTCTTTAACAGTTCAATGAAGTCAGGGGGCATGTACTGGGGAAGATCATTTAGTACTGGATTGTTTCTTTGCACAAGAGGTGGCCTTCTCCTTCCTTCATTTTTAAAATTGTAGGTTGTTATCACTGGATTTAATAGGGATTCTTCAATAAAGGTTTTCAAGTGGTAAGTGCCAGGGATAGGAGTATTCTGTAGAAAAGGGACATCAGTTGTAAGATCAGTGTGTAAACCAGTAACATCTCCTAAAATACTGTTTTTAGAAAGAGCACACCTAAGTATTTCCCTTTGTCATAAAGTTTAATAAGTCTATTTAATAGAATTCTATTAAACTCTAAGAACCTTATCAAATATAATAAACATTCTTGGTCAAGCAATATTTCCAAAGAATAGTGATTATTTCCCTTCTGAGATAACAGCTGAACTATAGCAAATGGGCTCTGAGCATAATTAAGGTTTCAACTTTTAAAAGATAGTTTCAGAGATACCTAAGCTTAGACTCCACTTGGCTTTTAACTTCAGGTCTATCACTCAGTGAGACTATGCAGAACAGTTTTTTAAGTAAGTGTCTCAGTTATTTTACTTTGCTTAGTAGATATGTAATAGTTCTTCCCAGTCCTCAAGGAAGCTAAAGGATAGTAGCATGAAACTGAAGATGAACTGGCAAAGCACACAATTCAATAGAGCTTTGGTACTCTGAAGTCACAGTCACCATGTGGCAGAATAGCCAGGTCTAAATCACTATTCTTGTGACCTTCTTGCCACTGAGTACCCAGCTCAGTTTCATCATCAAAATCAGTGTTATTCCAAGAAGACTTTGACCCATGGGGGTCCCTCTGTCCTTAAGGGGTGTTGATAGAAAATACTTCTGCAATATAGAAACAATGTCGCTTGAAAGGAGGGTCTTCTGGTCATGTTCTTTTCATATATTACTACCTGGCTTTCGTACACTGACCGTGTTAACACATTAGTACAGGTTCTATGCCTCTAAGTCAGGTCAAAAACTCCCTGGAATGCATGCTTTTTCTTCCTTGTGCAATCTCACTAAGATTATCTAGATATTCTGTAAAGCACATAGATTCCTACTCATTTTACTTTTCCAAGCTTTGACTACATTCAAAATTTAGTTGTTTCTTATTCACATGCTAATACTAAAATTTTAACTATGAAATTTAGCCCATGTAGATCTGCACTACTTTCTCACAGTTAAGTGTTAGTGACTGCAAAGTTAAGGCTGGTTAGATCAATGTGAATACATAGAACTTCAATAGGTAAGACTGAAGATGTACATACTGTTAATGCTATTCTCCACCATCCTTCTCTTTCAAAAGAGGATGCCTTCCTGCTTGGTCTCTATTAATGAACACAAAATGTGCTTATTCATTTGAGAAGCAATGCCTGGAAGTTAAATATAACTTTAAAACATTTACTTGAAGAAATTAATACATGCACCAAATCGGTTAACCTATATTAAAATAAGTTACATAATAATTTTTTCCGATATTCCACTAAGTTGCTACTTAGTGATCTTAAATGCTTTCAGTGCTTAAAGGGTTAAAAGTCCCTATTTGGAAAAATCAAAGAAATAAATATACCCATCTTACAGAGATGTCATAATTAGATGTGATAAAAGTTGGTGTCCTTACAAAGAGTTGTGAAATCCAAAACTGTATTATAATTATTAAGATTTATGGTTCAGGTGATCGTGCTGGGACCTCAACGTATAAGGATTGTCATCAAATTAATATGGTCTTGGGATATAAATTCCTGATGAATTGGCAAATGTTGAAACTGTTATTTACATAATCAAATATGTACCATCAAAATATGATACAGTCAGCTAGAGTCTGAAGAGGCAGAATGATGGAGAAGCCAGACAGACTGGACTTGAATGCCAGCTCTGCTACTTAAAGACTTGGAAGCACTAGGCACGTTATTTAATCTTCATGAGCTCAGCTCCTCATTGGAGTAGAAAAATAAGGCTCACCAGGGCTGGCATGAGAATCAAGCGTTGGTTGTATTAAAAGCTCTCACCTACAGCCAGTGCTCAATAAATGGTAGCTTTAACATCCCAGCTACCAAATTAAGAAGCACATTATTTTGGTATTTCTATTTCCAAGGAAGCTCTTGTCTTCCATATTAAGTACTCTATACCCATTTTTTATTCTTCATTTGTTTCAGCCTATCAATAGAACACAGTTCTTTAGTATCTTTCTTTTTGTGCTATTTACACTAGATAAAATCACATAAGTATTAAGTTCTACTTTTATTTATAGTTCTTTTGTTGTTGCTATGAAATATGGGTTATGTCCAGCAATAGCGCATTAAAATAATCAGTAAAATTGATATAATTCATTCTTCCTGTATAGCAACTTACAAGTACCCCTGAGGCTTTGGTTTTACTATGAAATGTTTTCTCTAAAACCACTCTTTTATACACACAAACTCTGATTTACTTCTTATAAATTTATGTTGAATTTCTGTTGCACAGTTTGAATTTTCTCAGGCAGTGCAAGAAAGTCTTCCACCTCTACCGAGGGCCCGGAAAATAACCCGGTGCTGGCAGGAGAGGGGTCAGTATACTTGATATACCTAAAGGAACATAGCTGGCAACTGCTGCTTTGTTTTGCCCAAGGCAAGTGATCAAAACTCCACCTCTCTACCGTTTTAATTTCACTTTGTGGGGAAAGACAAAAGATATGTTATTCGTCCCTCACCTAAATTTGTAATTATTTAAAACACAAAGGTGGTTTCAAATATTTTATAAGGACTGTAATGTAATAGGAGGCAGAGCAAAAACGTGTTTGATACTTAGGAAGGAAAAACCCATTCTCTGCAGGTGGAAGGGAAAGTGAAAGAAATCTAACCTCCTAAAGCAGTTGTCCCGTGCAATTAGTGGTGTGGGAGAAGGGGGTGGAAAATACAGAAAACAAAGGTTGAATGCGAAAGACAAGGGAGCAACCAGGAAAGAGAAAATGAAACAAAGTAGAACTCAAAGATCAGGAAGAAAGGGTTGGCAGGTGTAGGTAAGAAGGCAGGGAGAAGTGGGGGAAGAGACCAGAGCGGCAGCTCAAAGGCTCAGGATCCCAGGGGCGCAAGTTTTGGCTGATGAGTCCAGCTAAGGGATAGCGGAGGTGGCCAGGGGAGGACGACAGTACAGAGGTCACGACCACGGACAGCTGGGCCCCGGGCCTTCCCTTACTGCGATGGAGGGGACGATGATGACTGACTGGTCCATAGCGGCCTGGTCCCTCCCTCCGCCCAGTTGGAGTCGGGTTGCCAGGAGGCGCCTCGCGTCCTCCAGCTACCGAGCGTGCGCACCGCCCACCAGGCCTGTGGTGGGGGAAGGGAGGCGCGCCCACGCTTTGCGGCCCCGCGTTGAGTCTCGCGCAGAGGACGGTCTCGTACACATGTGCTAAGGAAACCTGGGAGGCTCCGGGGTCGCCAAATTGCACTCGGCTAAGTGTCTGTGCCAAGGGAAGCTTGGAAAGGCGACTTCTAAGTTTTGAGTGCAATCTCCGCCCGCCCTTTAAAACATGCCACGAGACTTGCCCGGAGGCTGAGAAACGGTATACTAGGCGGCCATATTTGGCTTTAAACCATACCATCCACTTTTTAAGATTGTCCCTAAACGACTAGATGGCAGTTCTGGGACTTCACTTCTTTTGGCTGACGCACCAAGCTGTCTTTTTTTGTATAGACCCTTTTCACTTGCAACCTGTGACTTCTCAATTTATTAACAATCTTATCTTTAACAATCTCCCTGTAACCTTAACACCATTTTATAGAGTACCCGCTGTGTACCAGGTACATCAAGCGCATTAATCACACTTAATCCTTACATCCCTGTGAAGTAGGTATTAATCCCATTTTATGGATGAGCAAACAGCCTTCCTTGGACAGCTGACACAGAATCAGCAGAATCCGTTCCAGCCCAGTTCTGACTCCAGCATCCTATTGCTTCTGCAGGATGAACTGACTCCAGCACCCCACTGCTACTGCAGCATACACTTTGTGCTTCCTTTAACACTTTCAAGAGTACTGTTGACTCAAATCTCCCAGTTTCCTAAAACTTCATCTACTGCGTGCACACTCTTCAATAAAAATTGCATTTGCAGGGCCTCCCTGCTGGTGCAACAGGTTATGTGGAAGCACCACGAAGCTACCCCTGGCCAGGGAGTTGACCCATATGGCACAGAACCTCTCCTGTCTTGCTGCTGCAGTGTATCACTGATCTGCCTGTTCTACCCCCTGCACTGCCTCTAATGAATCTTCTCAACCCACCCCCACCCTGCACCTCTGGCACCTCTGGTGTGTACCCCACCCAGTATGCCTAAATAAGTAAAATCTTTTAAAAATATACATCTGGGGAGCTTGTTCAAGTAGATTCAAATTCTGGGGCAGATTTTGCGTTTCTAAAAGCTGTAAGATGATTTTGTCTGAGTAGAGCAGCCTAGAGACTACAGGACTCCTTTCTCGTTAAAATAATGGGATTCTGAATTCATTTAACATAGCCTATAGGCTTAAAAATGGAAACCACCACCAAGCACCAGGCTAAAAATAAAAACTGAAAATATAAGAGCAAGAAGCAAGCAGAGTTTTCACAAGTATTAGAAATTAATGAACACCATCACTGTGCCTCATTTTTTTTTTTATTTTGTCTGAGCCTGTAAAACTGGCTTAGCAGGATAGAGACTGGTACCCCAGAGACTAAAATATGATGAAAGGTACACTGAAATCCAGAAACCCATACATGGTGTGAAAGAAAGGAACATTAAGATGAGAGTATCTCAAAAATAGAAATACTGGAGTCAGTAATTTCAAAGACCTTACCAATAAAACATTAAATGTGTAGGATGAACAAAGTGAGCTGTTTTAGTATGACAGAAAAAAATTAACTTATTTTCAGGGTGTCATTAACAGGTTTATAAAAGGGGGAAGGCTCTTATCTGAGAATTTAAAATTAACTCTAAGTACAACTCAGCAATGCCTTTTTCAGCAGCTGTTTTTTGATAGAATACATCCAATGATCACCTAACTACAATAGTGATGATCTTGTTAAACTGAGCAAAAAGGTAGTATTGAGAAAACTACCAATTATGATTGTAACATAAAATAGGAATATGGCTAAAATTTGAAAACGTTTTACAAGTATTTGGGTTTAAATGAAGATTTTACTCTAGGATATAGAATTGAGATTTGAACCCAGCTCAGTATATACTCAATATAGCCAGTTAAATTATGAGACTGCTCTATATTTGTTTCCTATAAAATCAAATTCTTACTTTGTAAATTTTGTATTATAAAATTAGCAATTAAGACACACAAAAAGTATCCTCAATGTGTTTCCCCCTACTGAATTATCAACTTAAACTTCAAACTGTTTTAACTGGGAAAAATAATCAAAATTCACTGCCTAATTCTGTAGTTTTAGTGTCTTAACTGGCTCAAGCATGGCATCATCATAATTACAAAATTCACAAACAAGACTCAGTGTTTTGCCTTTATTATTGTAAAAATAAAGTTAGAACCCAACTGGGCAAATTATACATATTTTTTAAAATAACCAAGACTTGAATAATATTGACCCTTGAAACAGTATCTCCTTATTACTCGAGATTGTGCTTTAGTATTCAATTAGCCAGACACATGAATCTTGTCCCAGTAAATAACTATTTGGGTTTCCTTCTGATTAAATGCTTACATCTAATGGTCTTCCTATTTAACTGAGTAACATGCAAGTATCCTGTTAACTTCCCATGTCCTATTTAAAACATGTTTTTTTCCCTTCACTAACCATCTAGTTCTTTTATGTTCTGGTAAGCCTAATAACAGTGGCATTGAAATAGTCAAAGATAGAGAATAACATGCCAAAGGAATTGCCTCTTGGGAAATTAAAAACCTTGTGGCTAAAATAACCAGGTAACAACTCAATGTTTTAATCTTGGCTCTGGTTTGCTATGGAATCTTTCATTAAGTGTTTAAAAGGTAGTTAAAACAAAACAAAACCCTGATAACCACCTTTTGAATAGCTTAAATTATAGGGAAAGCAATGGTAGAACAAGCAAAAACTAAAACATGGTTTAGTTACTGCCAGTCTGTTCCTAAATACACCTTTTTGTGTAAAACATGTTGCAGATGGACAACACAACTAAAAACTCCTTTGCTTTGTGCTCAGAATTAAAACACACTGTGTGAACAATAGGAAGTAGAGGTAAAAATAACCTTCCCCTCGAGTTTTTTTTTTTTTTTCAACTCATTTAAAAAGTTATTGCACTACTGAAGTCATGGACTAATGGATGCCAAGGTTGAAAAATACATTACAGTATTTTACTACCCGTAAGCTGGCTCCCATGCTTACAAACACTTTAAAAAGACCTTTTAAAAACTTAGGGGCCCTCCCTGGTGGCACAAAGGGTTTGGGCGCAGCACTGCAGGCTTAGTGCTGCCGGTTCTGTGTGAGTTTGATCCCCACCTCAGAGGTGATCCACATGGCGCGGCAGACCTCTCCTGATCTGCCCACTGCTCCCCTCAGCAGTGTACTTCATCTCTCCACTTGCTCTGCCCCCCACTCTGACTCTGGGGAAGCCTCTCACAGTCCCGTCCCTGCATCCCTGGCTTGTACCCTATTTCTGTATAAATAAATAAATCTAAAAAAAAAAAAAAATTCAACTTAAACCTTTTGAAGTTCCCTAATGTAAAAATGAAACAATTTTGAATAGCAAAAAAAGGAAAAACTGCCTAAATTATATCAAGTGGAAACCACCTTCCATATATTATTCTCAAAATTATTTAGCCATTAAGTAAATGACTCAGATTCAGACCAACAGTTGGGTAAATTGTAATTTTTTTATTGGAAAACAAATATACAACTTGGAATGGATTTGAGGCAAATTGTGCCATAAGCAGATTTTCTTTAAGTGGCTAAAACAAAGTTTAAAAAGCAAGTAACAATAAAAGAAAATGTTTCTGGTACAGGACCAGCAGTACAAAAAAATAGTGTACGAGTACCTGGATAATACACCCGTTTTGCAATAGTGCAACTTTTAAGAACATATTGTTGACTGTCCATAGTCCACGCAGAGTTACAACTCCACACTTCAACAACAACATGCTGACAGTTCCTAAAGAAAACTACTTAAAAAAAAAGGCATAACCCAGATGTTCCCTCATTTGACCAACTCCATCTAAGTTTAGATGTGCAGAAGGGCTTAGATATATCCAGAGTAAGCCACATGCAACATGTTACTTGATCAATTTTCTAAAATAAGGTTTCAAGACAATGACAGTAAGATAAGGGAAGAAAACATGGAGGAATGAAGTCCTAATTACTATACATGCATATTTTTTTTTGACAGTAGGGGGAACCTTTTACAGATAAGTTACAAACAAAGAAAAGGCAAATAAACAATTTTGTACAAGAAATTTAACACATTCTGTACAATGTCTTCACTTTGCTGTCATCATTTGTACAAACTCTGGAAAAAAAAAAAAGTACACAGATGTTGAGTCAATGGCAAGAGAATGACACAACCAATCACATTAATTCAATCACTGAGCAGTCTGTCCACATTCCCCTTTCATTCTTCACAACTATCAGAAAGTACAGAGGGAAAAAGCAAGCTTGAAACTTCCAAAATTTAGGAATCATGAATAAAACAAATTAAAGCTTTAGATAAGCTATTATACATAAAAAGCATTTTAAATTTAGTATCATGTAATCCTTTTGAATTAAAACATATATAAACAATTTCCAGACTAAATCCAACTGGGGAAGAAGGATCCAACAGAGGAAGAGAGTCACCTGTAACTTCATTCTGGTATTTCCAAGTAAGTCTGAAGCTTTTCAAATTGTTCCAATTATACAATTACTGTTTTAGCATAGTTTGGCATACAGTGCTGCTCAAACTTTAATATGCGTAAGAAATTATACCTATGTGTGCTGCTAAAATACAGTGTTTTAGTACAGGGTGTAGGACCTGACAGTCAATAGTTTTTAAGATGTTGCCTAGTCTGCAGGTAACACACTGAACAACAAATGGTGTTTATAGTAAATGTACATGTTTTACTATCTTCATAGAGGGAGGAAAAAGATGAAAGGAAGTCACTTATTTTGACCTATCCAATAATAAGTACCTATAGCTTAAAGCGTAACAGATGTGGTGAGAGTGAAAAGACTTACCTTCATAGTTTACTTGACCATCACCATCAATATCTGCTTCCCTGATCATTTCATCA